CCACAGTAGATAACTGGAAGGATCAGAAAGCTGCCTGCCAACCTTTTATAGAATTACTTCCTGTAGCCATATGTTGAATCTGGAGCAAGCCAAAGACAGTGAAAGTGCATTTAATTTTTGACAACACCAAGCTGTTAGAAGGACTAATACCCCCAAAATAATAATAATAATAATAGAAGTGATGTATTTGAAATCCATAAATTGCATTTCATGTTCATTTGTCTACTCTAGGAGAAGCAAATCAACAGGTTTCTTCTTCCTCCTGAGGTGGGTGATGAACGATTGCTTGGAGCGGGGTGGCAGGATCCTGTGTTGCCATTATTGACTTTCTATGGAAGCCATTCATCTGCAGATGCAGTCAGTGCAGGGTCAACACACCCTGCAAGCCTTAAGTAAACTGGTTTTAATCACTCATGGGTGGATCTGAACAGAATAATTACTTTCCTGTTAAAGGTAGTGTCTTCCTCTTATCTTCACCCTCCTGGCCTCAAGTAGAACAGCGAGGATTTACTCAAGGGGACTGGAACTCCCAATGTCAGAGGGGTCCCTGGCTGACAGGCAGCAGAAGGCAGGAATGAAAAGGACTCATTCATTCATTTGTTCATTCCTTTATGAATGTACAATGATATGTGGACCTACTATGGAACAAGCTTTGTTCCAGGAAAACAATGAGCTCTCTTTTTAGAGAGCTTACCTTAGGAATGTGCAAAGCTTGGATTCATACCTTTTACAAAGGCCTCCTAAAATTCTCTTGTCCAGAACATACTCCAGAATACAGAGAAGTAAACACAAGAAAACATTATTTGTTCAAAGATACATGAAGAGTCTGAAGGGGATACGAAGGGTCATTCAAAAATAGGCATTGTTAGGCATGTTTAAGAGATGTAATCTTATTGTTTTTGAAGAATATTTGCACTTTGAACTGACTATTTTGAAAATATTTCTGAGTAGAAAATCTTGTGAGAAGATATGACTTATTTATTTATAAACAGTATTATCTATGTCTAAAGACTGGATCACATTTATTATAAAAATGTACATAATTCTAAAGTATGTTAAGCCTTTTCTATGTAGACCGTCTATTTAGATCTCAGTAAGTTTAATTTACTTATTAGCTTATTTACATTTTATAACTGATAAAATGATAGAATAGAGATCAATTCATTTGAAGCAAAATTATTAAAGAATTTGAATTTAAGACTAAAATAATAAGGTTTTACTTACTCAGTTAATAATTAAGTACATACTATGTTTCAGCCAATATGACAATTATAATTTAATTATTTTGAAGGTTGTGATTAATTGGAATGTATTTATTTATTTATTTATTTTAATTTTAAAAATTTATTCTTTTCTTTTGTTGCTGTTGATTTGTTCTTGAGATGGCTACAACACCAGACAGAACAGTGCCCTCATATCTGATGGCTGTGCAGGGCTGCACTCCTTTGAAACATTAAGATCTGTTTTGGGCTTCCCTCTTCGGCCTCACCCTCCCCTTGAAATCAAGTAATTTCCACACTTTTTAGTAAAATACTAAACAGCACATCATCCCTTCTTAGCCCTGTAAACATTTTTTTTCTTTACATACCCTCCCTCTTTTTTTCTCTCATGTCTGTGGGTGAATAATTTGCTAAGAAAAAAACCTTAAAAAACAAAAATTGATACATTTATATCCTGTCCCCCACCCTACCACAGTTTTGGCTCTTCAAAAGAGCCAAAATACTGGAATGTATTATACACAGTCATGTGTGTTAATGTGTGCATTTATATGTTTATGGCTCAGTTAAAAATGAATATTTCGGGGGCTGGGCACAGTGGCTCATGCTTGTGATTCCAGAACTTCGGGAAGCTGAGGTGGGTGGATCACCTGGGACCAGGAGTTCAAGACCAGCTTGGCCAACATAGCAAAACCCACCCCATCTCTACTAAAAATACAAAAATTAGCTGGGAAGTGGAGGGTGGAGGTTGCAGTGAGTCAAGATTGTGCCACTGCACTCCAGCCTGGGCAGCAGAGTGAGATACTGTCTCAAAAAAAAAAAATATGAATCATAATGTCAAACTTAACAGCAACACACACACACACACACACACACACACACACACACACAGAATACAATCCTCAATCCACGATAGGATATAGCGATATGTATAAAGAAGCAGAAAGAAACACAAACATGGTTTAACGTGCAATCATAGGGTCATGACTTTTTTTTGTTGTTGTTTTTCTTTTGTTTGAATTCTACTGGATGTCTTATGGAGTTGTTTCTGCAATTAAAAAAAAAAAAAAACAAATGACCATAGAAAAATGGATCCAGATTGACCTGTTCATTTTTAGTAGAATGGAGCAGAAATTTGAGAGAGCTACCACTGGAATGTTTCTGTAGCACAGACATACCTATAAGGCTCACTGGGAAATTTCCAACTGTTTTCCATTATTTCCAGAATGTCAGATTCTCAGATGGAGAGTTTTAGGTCAGGGCTGCATAGAGAAGGTAGGATGGTGGGATATTGATCTACGTATTTTCAATATCCAGAAAAAAAAGCCAAGGATACGAGTAGCTTTATTTTTATAATATTACGTTTCCATCTGTTGGGAAATATTTACATTATTTGCCACTTGCACCCAATATTACCTGATGCAGGATGTCTTATACAGTCTGATCACCTGGAATATAAAGGAGCATCAAAAATATTTTAAATCGATTGATAAAAATCAGCTTGTTTTGGGAATATTCTATAGGGCTAGTTTATAATTGTGTTTAATTTTATTTTGATTTAAGTGTTGTGCCAGGAGAAGCAGGTGGTGAAATCTACACCCATGAGAAAAGAGGAAAGCATATTCTGGCTAATAGGGAACTAGAAAATCAGAGCGAGGAACATCACCTTGCCTGACACAATAGTTGTTCTATAAAATTGAGCTCTTCATATTATCATGGAAATACTTTTTGGCAGTAGCACAAAAAGGTTGTTTTACATTATTGTTAATTGTGGTTGGAGACACAAAGTAATATGATCATTTGATGGCTTGTTATTCACAAAATGACAACTTTTATGTGCCCATAAATATGAACTCACCTGGAAATATTCCTGTGAATTTAGGAGCCATCTAGATGTATGTGCTTAATGTATATACTAGATTTTGATGAAGCCACATGAGTTTGTACTTAGCAGTTTACCTGGCTCCTTGTCAGCCATCTGATGAGGGAACACTGTCTGCTTGGTGAATGTGAGACACAGAAATCCATAACTTTATCAGAATTTATGGTTGGTGGGCAGTGGCTTTCCTGGAACATGATACAAGAGGCAATTAGTCTTCAATTTTGTGTGCGCTTTTCATCTTGTCTGGAGTGCGGCTGACAGCCACAGCATCGCCCTCACCCCATTACATCCCTTTTCTCCTCTTCAAGAAGGGGAGGTTGAAAGGACAACAAGGAACCTTAAATTCATCCTGGATAACATAAACAGAGTTTGGGCAGAGTGTCTGGTATGCAATCCTATTGTGCCATTTACAGTGACAGGACACCACTTTCAAAGATGACACTGACTGTTCAGAGGCTTTAATATGACTGCCTCCAAATGTCTGAAAAATCTCCACGTGTTTGCCTGGCACTCTGCTCTTTTAAGATAAAACTCTATTTCTCTCTTTCTCTCTTTCTTTCTTGGAAGTACAGCATCCTCAGCTGGTAATCTTGAAAGCCTGGGCTGCAGTGATTTCTCTTCATACAGGAACACATTAAGCACATTATTTCATGCTTCCCCGAAGCAAATTCAGAAAGTGCCAATTAGTAAGTTGATGGGGAAGAAGTCAATGGGTGGCATTAAAGCCACCTGTCTGGAGACACAGGTGTACACTTTGACTGAGTTAAAGGCGACTCACAGAGAGGCAGGAATGAAGTACTTTATCACACATTCCCGGTGGCACAAAACGAGAGGATTTAAAGTAGTTTCGAGGACAGTTCCTCCATCTTGATGCTATTATGATTAATCCCATTGCTCTGGACAAAATTGGGCATCCCAGTGAGATAGTATAAAACATCTGAAGCTGTGAATTTTTACGTATTTATAGCTTCTTCTGTGGTACAGATTGTGAAGGGCAACTAACTTTTCTTTCAGAGTTTTAGAGAGTCATGTGGACTTAGAAGTTGCGAAACTTTCATCCACATCTCAGAGTGTTCTGGGCATCTTTCTAAGTCCACATGACTCTCTGAACCTCTTTTCATGCAGTCATTTATTCATTCTTTCCTTTGACAAATGTTTACCAGTGTGCAATGCATACTGGACCTTAGTCCAGCTGCTGGGAATACATCTGTGAACTGCACGGACAGCTGTCTCTATTGGCACAAGGTTTATTTTTTAGTAGAAGGCATATGGACAAGAAACAAGATAAATAAGTAAATTATTTAGTAGGCTAGAAGCTGATGAGGGGGTTGGGGTAAAATAGCCTTTGTGAAATTCCTAGAGAAAGCTTTAGAGTCTAGACTTTGACTTAAGACTCAGAAAATCAAGCTAAGTTAGGATGTCATAGGATATCCTTGAAATGGAGTAAAAGGATTTGAGGTAGGGAAGAAAAACAATGGACTCCATTCTCTTTCTCTTCTACCTTTCCCACAACAGACTATCTAACAAGTCTCTCAGTCTCCCAAAATGGAAAGTCGATATGGCACAGTAGGAAGAAGGGAACAAGGGTAAGTGTTCTAGGTTCAGGAAATAACCTTGGAAACAAAACAAGGAGTCTGCTAAAAGAGAAGAGAATACGGTTATCTATTTCATCCCTGTTTCGTCCAGCTGCTTCTACTTCCTTCATTTCTTGGTGCATGTATTTTTGTAGCATTGGTCCGGTATGGAACAATCAACCTGACAGAGTCAAGGTCCCTGTTGGGCCAAGCGTTCTTTGCCTGGCCCTGTCCTTCCCTTGTCAAAATTGAGCTAACTTTCAAGTTTTGAAGTTTTGTAAACTTAATTTTTTTGTTGTTTCTTTCTCCAACAATTCTTTGCTGCAGATAATGTTACTCACAGACCCAGAGATTGAGAGCAGCTTATTGATCAGCTCAGATGAAGGGGCAACTTATCAAAAATACCGTCTGAACTTCTACATTCAAAGCTTGCTTTTTCACCCCAAGCAAGAAGACTGGATTCTGGCCTACAGTCAAGACCAAAAGGTGAGCATGCTTACCTTGTTTGAGATAATGAAGCATGGTTCTCGGGAAAATAGTATTAATTTAATCATTTCTCCATTTCACCTCAATGATCATTTTTGTTCGGAGCCATAGTCTGACCTCTGGGCTAATGGGACAAAGGAAAGCAAGGAGAGTCTCAGGTTGCTTGTTTAAATCATGTAAATGTCTGAAACCACATACCAAATAAAGGTTAGGTGTGCTAAGTAAGGCATGGTGGAGAAGCAGTTCCTGGCATAGATGCTTCAGGCAGTCAGGAGCCTCTGACCACCACTGAATTGGAGACAGTATCTTATGTTTGTGCCCAGTTGATCATTTCTCTTGGTAAAGGACCATGGCTTTTCTCAGACTCTTAAAGGGAAGCATAACCTTGAAAAGATTAAGAACATGAAGTAGGGATTTTCTAAAACACTGAGAGAAATGGCCAGAGGAACAATAATGGTGTATATAGGTAACCTTATGCAGAACCTAGTCATCTCAGAACTTTTCTTCACTTGGTGGTAAGGTTGAAGGAGAAGTCCACTTCAAAAGAAAGGATTAAATGAGCTCCTAGTATTACCTGTGTGTGTATATGTGTGCATACATCCCATGAAATGTCATCCTGTAAATTGTATTATATACTCTATACGACATACGTACTATAACATACGTATGGTCCCTGCCTTTAAAGAACTTGCATTCTCAGATAGAATAAAAGGCTAGAAATAGCAAGTAAAATTAAATTAAAATGAAAAGAAACAGCATAGACACAGGTAAATGTGAGAGAGACTCTAGCCATAAAAGCCAGAGGGATAGATAATTGGTGAAATGCTGGAGTACTCTTTGTGAAATGCATTATTCAGTGAAGTCATTCTGAAAATTCTCCTTAGAGGAATCATGAATTAGAAATTACATATATTTAAAGAAATACTGGACTTAACTAAGTGAGGGGGTTGTTTGGGGGGGTTTATTTGTCTGGGTTTACATAGATGTGTGGCGTTTTTGGAGGTAGGAGAATGGTGTAAGCTACTTCCCAAGGTCTCTACTGACAGGAGCATTTTAAAGGAAGCAAATTTAAGTTCTTAAGATTGGAATTTTATTCATGCTGCCCCTGCTGCCAAATCAAATGCACATTAAGCCTAAAAATAGAAAGAATTTACAATTAGTTTTTTTTTTTTTTTTTTTTTCTTTTTCCCTCTTGAGCAGCTTGGCTACCCTTTCAGCAGAATGTACAATTTTGTTTCTGGAGTCAAGCCACAGTACATCTGGTCCAGGATGGTGCAGTTAACAGAGGCAAAGCCTGACCAGCTCAGACAGAGTATTAGTCATTTAATCCACAGGGTTATTGTATTTTATTCGACAGTTGGTTAATTTCCCCCCCTGATGCCAGAGGCACAGCAAGGGCCAGATTTACCTGCCTAAGTAAAAACTCTGCATATTTGCAGTTACGCTGGAGGAGATGCCCAAGTATGTAAGCCTTTAGATCCCAGCACTTCAAACAGTGCCTCACCCCGGTCACTGTGGCAGAGTGGATGACATGACGCCAGTTAGGACACCTGGGCTGTGACCTCAACCCAGCTACTTATGGTGAACAGTATTTAGTGTTGGTTTCTTTTTCGTTAAAATGTGTTTGTATGGATAATTACGATTGTAGGTACCCTTTAAAGTGATATAAAAAGAAACAAATATTAGATGCTACATCTCTTTTAAGTGCCTTGCATGATACGGTGTTAATATGAAATAACTACATTCTGTCCATCCTAGAGATAGATGATTGACACATATGAGTTGACCAATAGTGTAAGAGAGGCCAAAAAGGCAGTTCTGTCACTGATGCATAATATATACAAGTGATTGGATGAGTTACATTAAATTGATAGTGCGAAGTTCAGGAGATGGAGATTTAGTGATCTGTCTACTCCAGAGGTCTTATGAAATGACTTCAGCTGGACTTTGATGGATATGTTGGATTTCTATCGTGAGAGTAGGGGATGCCAGTTTTTTACAAAAGCAATGTCATAAACATGAAATTGTAAAAAACATGTTTACAAAAGTGCAAATTTTTTTATTTGGCTGAAACTAAAATTTGTTACAGCTAGTTACAATTTACACATATGCACATGCACATGCACGCATGCACACACATACACACACACTTTGGAAACTAATCTTTATTATTTGTCTCTGTCTGTTAGGAAAATTAATTTTTGTTTCCTTAATTAGGAGCCTTCAGAAATTTTGGTCCAGAAAATGATATATTTAGAGCTATAGATTACAAGAGTAATATGAGTATAAACTGTGGTAATATGAGGACAAAAACAAGACTAGTTGGGATGATATTACGACAGTCCTGGCATCAGATGCTAAGAGTAAGAACCAAAAGGTGTCCTTTGTGACCACAGAACCAGTGAATCCTCTCATTTTAGAGTTGGAAGTGGTCTTCCTCTGTTTGTTATTGTTGTGTGTGGGTTTTTTTTTTTTTTTTTTTTTTTTTTTTTAGTGTATGAGTCTAAGGATCTAAATATCTAAGAGGTTAACAAATTTACTCAAAGGACAAAATCATTAATTAATATAACTTGTGGATACTCTACAAATGGGGTGAAGGGCTACCTGACATTCCATAGGATATTGGAATACCTATGGAATACCTCATTCTTTTTTTTTTTTTTTTTTTAAATTTGAGACAGAGTCATGCTCTGTCAGCCAGGCCAGGGTGCAGTTAGTGTGATGTTGGCTCACTGCAGCCTCCGTTTCCCGGGCTCAAGCAGTTCTCCTGCCTCAGCCTCCGGAGTTGCTGGGATTACAGGTATGTGCCACCACATGCAGCTAGTTTTTATATTTTTAGCAGAGACGGGGTTTTACTATGTTGGCCAGGCTGGTCTTGAACTCCTGAACTCAGGTAATCCACCCGTATCTTGGCCTCCCGAAGTGCTGGGATTACAGGCATGAGTCACTCCACGCCCAGCCAGAGTTCTCATTCTTGAAGGTGATATTTTGAGATGAACAGATGGGTAAGAGCCAGGCTTTCTACTGATCTGTTTTCGTTGTTTTTGTTTTTAAAAAATTTTTTAAATTACACTTTTTTTTTTTTTTTTTTTTTTTTTTTTGAGACGGAGTTTCGCTCTTGTTACCCAGGCTGGAGTGCAATGGCGCGATCTCGGCTCACCGCAACCTCCGCCTCCTGGGTTCAAGCAATTCTCCTGCCTCAGCCTCCTGAGTAGCTGGGATTACAGGCACGTGCCACCATGCCCAGCTAATTTTTTGTATTTTTAGTAGAGACGGGGTTTCACCATGTTGACCAGGATGGTCTCAATCTCTCGACCTCGTGATCCACATCTCTCGACCTCGTGATCCACCCGCCTCGGCCTCCCAAAGTGCTGGGATTACAGGCTTGAGCCACCGCGCCCGGCAAATTACACTTTAAGTTCTGGGACACATGCAGAACTTGCAGGTTTGTTACATAAATATACACGTGCTATGGTGGTTTGCTGCACTCATCAACTCAGCATCTACATTAGGTATTTCTCCTAATGCTATCTCTCCCCTAGCCTCCCATTCCCCGACAGACCCCAGTGTGTGATGTTCCCCTCCACGTGTCCATGTGTTCCCACTTATAAGTGAGAACATGTGGTATTTGGTTTTCTTTTCCTGTGTTAGTTTGCTGAGAATGATGTTTCCAGCTTCCTCCAGGTCCCTGCAAAGGACATGAACTCTTTTTTTTTTTTTTTTTTTTTTTTTTTTTTTTTTTTTTGAGACAGAGTCTCGTACTGTTGTCCAGGTTATAGTGCAGTGGCATGATCTCAGCTCACTGCAGTCTCCACCTCATGGGTTCAAGGAATTCTTCTGCCTCGGCCTCCCGAGTAATTGGAACTACAGGCATGCGCTACCATGCCCAGCTAATGTTTTTGTATTTTTAGTAGAGACGGGATTTCACCATGTTGGCCAGGATGGTTTCTATCTCCTGACCTTGTGATCCATCCACCTTGGCCTCCCAAAACACTGGGATTACAGGCATGAGGCACCATGCCCAGCCAAACTCATCCTTTTTTATGGCTGCATAATATTTCATGGTGTATATGTGCCATGTTTTTTTAATCCAGTCTATCATTGATGGCCATTTGGGTTGGTTCCAAGTTTTTGCTGTTGTGAATGGTGCTGCAATAAATGTAAATATGCATATGTCTTTATAGTAGAATGATTTATAATCCTTTGAGTATATACTCAGTAATGGGATTGCTGGGTCAAATGGTATTTCTGGTTCTCTAGATCCTTGAGGAATTGCCACACTGTCTTCCACAATGGTTGAACTAATTTACACTCCCACCATCAATGAAAAAGCATTCATTTTTCTTCACATCCTTTCCAGCATCTGTTGTCTCCTGATTTTTTAATGAACGCCATTCTAACTGGCATGAGATAGTGTCTCATTGTGCTTTTGATTTGCATTTCTCTAATGACCAGTGGTGATGAGCTTTTTTCCATGTGTTTCTTGGCCACATAAATGTTGTCTTTTGAGAAGTGTCTGTTCCTATGTTTTGATGTTTTTTTTGGTATTTTTGTTTTTGTTTTTTTCCTTGTAAATTTGTTTAAGTTCTTTGCAGATTCTGGATATTAACCCTTTGTCAGATGGACAGATTGCAAACATTTTCTCCCACTCTGTAGGTTGCCTGTTCACTCTGATGACAGTTTCTTTTGCTGTCCAGAAGCGCTTTAGTTTAATTAGATCCCATGTGTCTATTTTGGCTTTTGTTGCCATTGCTTTTGGTGTTTTAGTCATGAAGTCTTTGTCTATACCTATGTCCTGAATGGTATTGCCTTGGTTTTCTTCTAGGGCTTTTATGGTTTTAGGTCTCATGTTTAAACCTTTAATCCATCTAGTGTTAATTTTTGTATAAGGTGTAAGGAAGGGATCTAGTTTCAGCTTTCTGCATATGGCTAGCCGGTTTTCCCAACACCATTTATTAAATAGGGAATCCTTTCCCCATTGCTTGTATTTGTCAGCTTGG